GTGGCCTCATGAGACTTTCTTGGGAAAATAGACATGGTGGGGTCCCGCGTCCTTCCGCGGTATTGCTTTTTGAAGAGATTTAGTTCTTCGCGGCCGCTGAAGCCTTATTTAGGTCTGGTTAATTAACCGCCGCCGGACGTTCGACGTTGACTGTTTTACGGTGGAAGGGTCGAACTCCAACTAAACCCTCCTCTTTTCTCATCCGGGCTTGGGACCGGCATTTTCAGAGTTAAAACAGGCTTGACTCCTTGGTCAACAATAAAAATGGTTAATTGATCGGTGCTACTAACGTTTGACAATATTCTGAGCACTATTATCCAAAGAAGTCATCGTGGCCTACAGGATAAAGCATCCGGTGTAGACGAATTAAGCGATACTGCTATGCCAGAGTTCGAATCCCACAGACAGGTAAAAAAAAAAAAACAAAAAAAAAACAAAAAAAAAACTAAGGAAAAACGAAAACTAATTAACGCGTGCTCACGAATGACTTTAACAATGATGAAAAACTTTGTGCAATTATAAATGAAACCGACGATATGTATGTACAAATATATTGGCGTAGTTAATTATCAGGTTGAGGAATGCATTTATTTATAAGCCCACATAAATAGGTATATCATTTGTGATTGCCATTCTGCCTATATCTGCCGCGAACCACAGAGTCACCGTACGATCGATTTTTCGACCGTAAATCCAAAGGTCGGTAGAGTCATTCACTCCGTTACAACTAAGGATTCCAGTAATAAGTTTAATGCCAGGTCGACCTTACTCTTCTCTTCTGACCTGTATTAATAAATCCCTGCTATACAATTATTGTCTCATCTACCTAATTGGTTCTGTGTCACCTAATTGTATAAGAAGGAAAGCTTTGGACAAGGAGCTGCACTCCAAAAAAACAATCAAATTTTAATATTTCTTGAATTTGGATTGACCAATTAGTCCCAGTTTTTGTAACCGTAGCTTCAAGTAGGACGCCTCCCACTCTACTATAGCCAATTACAGTGTAACCTCGATATAACAAATCGGAAGGGACACATTTTTATCGAATTACTGTGTTTATTTTCTATTTTAAAAAAAATCGGTTGTCTGTAAAGTCGGTTTACTGACGGTAGTTGAACGTGACAACGTCATAAGAAATTTACTGATGGAATGGTTTCATTTTTCAAAAGAAAATTTTAATTTTATTTGTTTGATAGATATTTTGTATGGACAATTGACACCACATTCACTTTTCACTGAGCTTCATACTTGACGAAAACATGTAAATGTATTATTGTATAGCAGCTGTCCACGCGGATGCATCGCTCACTCAAGTAGAAGAGAGACAGATGTCGAACGCTGCCGAACGCGGAGGCCGATTATGCCTCTTTCTCGCTCGTTGCGCGCTCTCGCTTGCACTTCAAGCCTTAAATGGAACGCCTCAATGAGTCATGTTTTTTCGTGCGTGCAGCCGGCTCCATCCAATTATAAGACGTTGTCACGTCAAAACAATTAGATAACAATTTTTATCAGGCACTGATTCACATACTATGGGATCAAGGGTCATGTTGGTGGGAACGTTATATAAAGGTTTTGGGTTGAGAATGTTGGTTAATTAGAGTTATTTACACTTTTTTGATATCTGAAAATTCATTATAAATAGTGTTCGCAAGAAATCTTCGCAATGTAAAGGTATATTTTAGATTTACTCTTATGGACCATCTAAGGGGATAACGAAGAACTTTTTAAATTGCTGACGTCGTTATATTGAGTTTCGTTATATTAAAGTTACATTGTATAATATAACATAACTACGTATTCTACACAGAAAAAAAACAAAATGTGTGCAATTCACACGTGGTAGAAGTGAAACCTTCCAAAATTAAAATACAATTATCCTAAACGTCTTAAGTATATGTAAAATTTTGTCATTAGTAAATAATTGTAAGGCTTATTAAAAAATCTCACAGATGGCGCTGTATTAAATAGTATGTATATTTCTGTCTCATTCTTTGCTGGCTTCATCCTACACATTTTTGTATTTGTGTCTCTTACCTGTCGTTTTTTCCGTTTCATCCGGTTTGAAATCACAACGATTCTAAAGAAGTTTTCACTTCAAAAATCCAAAAATATAATAACAAAAACACACATCCTTACATCAGAATCAATACAGTAGGGACACTCGACAAATCGAATCCAAGATGGCGGCGACGGGCGGCACATCAAAGATAATTGCAAGACAGCGTTCACACTGAAACAATGGGCTGACGATAATCGTGTTTGATGGAATCGAGGACATATTACACTCACTAAGGGCTGCACCACACTTATGTTTACTTTAAATAATAAATATTACAAAACGGTACATTCCCTATTAACCAATGCGTCTACTGCATTATTTTATAAATGATTTACTTGTGATTTTAAATATTTTGTAATCTAGGTATAAAGATTTTTTTCTTTGAATTAACTTTAGTTGAAAAGGCATTAATTAAGTAATTACATAAACAGGACCTCTTGTGAGTCCGCACGGGTAGGTACCACCACTTTGCCTATTTCTGCCGTGAGGCAGTAATGCATTTCGGTTTGAAGGGTGGGGCAGCTGTTATAACTATGCTGAGACCTTTCTCTTTATCACCCCACTCCATTTTAAGATCGCAAAATATTGTACAATGTATTGGCGCCAAAATGAGAAAACTCAATGAGCAATCATAATATAAAAATGACAGATTCCAAATTCAAATGTAATATTTTGTTTATTTTTAATTGTAACAGTATTTATGGCCAGACTAAGTATATGCAAGCTTATTTTGAAAATATCGTAAGCGAGATTCAGGCATCTGTCAAATATCATGCGTTGTATGATGGCTGCCGCCACATGTACATTATTTTCATCGATATCGTTTCCGACTTTGAGAAACAACATCGTAGGTCGTTTGCTGATTTTTCTAAACAAAAATTTATAATCTTAGTTTCAAACTTCACTCGGTCGAGGTCCAATTAATCTTGTGTAATTAAGGTCTCATTATCACCTAGGTCTACGCCTCGTGACATACTACCCTGCTCTCCGTAAAAGCTGTGCCGTTATTGTCGGCAAATTATTTTAGTTTTCATGACATAAAAAACATAGGTCGAATACAAATATAATTCGGAGGTTGACATAGATGGATTTCACAGTCACACACACACACACACAAATCGTTGATAAATATAAAAAAAACCTGATGTAGATGCGATTAACCTTTAACTGGTGACATGTCAAATTTATAACACTTTAAAGGACATGACGTCTCACAGACTACTACTACTTTTAAATTCATCTTTATTATGAAAATCAACTTGAGTGTTTCAAAATATTCAAGCCTTAATATTCAATCAACGGTATGTAATGAAAGTGAGACTACATCTTTTTTTTTTTATTGCTTAGATGGGTGGACGAGCTCTCAGCCCACCTGGTGTAAAGTGGTTACTGGAGCCCGTAGACATCCACAACGTAAATGCGCCACCCACCTTGAGATATAAGTTCTAAGGTCTCAAGTATAGTTACAACGGCTGCTCCGCCCTTCAAACCGTACGCATTACTGCTTCACGGTAGAAATAGGCAGGGTAGTGGTACTCACCCGCGCGGACTCACAATAGGTCCCACCACCAGTAAGTCACTGGTTAAAGGTTAAAGTGAACTATTATCTATATTTTCAATTCAAAGAAATGCTAAAAGATTATTAGAAGCAGTTGGCACGAACAAAAATCTATGTTTAAATAACGGATAATTAACAAAAAAAAAAACAAAAAGACTTTAAAACTAACAACATTATTGAAAAACTGTAAATTTAAGAGAGTAAATTTATTCTAGACTTTTTAAACTGAAATCTGTGATCCTCATTTACTCGAAAAGCAAACTTACGTTAACGGAGGGACTAACTCGATAAACGCGATAGTAAAGTCATTCAAATTTTTGTTAATCTCGCGCCTGGCACGCAGAAAATCGCTTTACACCAAAAATACGAGATACTCGTCGCGTGAAACCGAAAACTTTCTCGTTTTCGGCCACAAATTATATCTGAGCGATGTTTTCCGGGGGAATTAAAGTAGTCAGCGCGCCCAGACTGAGAATTGTTGGCAATGTTTGTGACTTTATGAAATATTGAAAGAATACACGGTTTTCTTCTTGTATCATAAAAAATTCAACCAAAATACGAAGTTGTAGATTGTGTAACTATAATATTATATATTATATACTCGTACCACGTGAAACAAATCTTCTGTGGTCCTATTTATTCGACCGTATGTATTCTTTGAACGCTTCACTACATAGTATAAAACAAAGTCGCTTTCTCTGTCCCTATATCTGTCTGTGCTTATGTATTCCTAAATTTTTTAAACTACGCAATGGATTTTAATGCGGTTTTTTTTAATAGATAGAGTGATTAAAGAGGAAGGTTTATGTATAATAACATCCATTAAATACTGGATAAATCAATAATAAATTACAGTTTCCGAAGCGAAGCGAGGGCGGGTCGCTAGTTTCTGATATAATTCGCGGTAGGCAGCGGCTTGGCTCTGCCCCTGGTATTGCTAAAGTCCATGGACGACGGTAACCATTCCCCATCAGGTGGGGTGCATGCTCGTCTACCTACAAAGGCCATAAAAAATGCATATTTTTATTTGTTGTAATTCGTTGTTGTTGTTTAAGATCATTTTACTGGTGGTAGGACCTCCTCTGAGTCCGCGCGGTTAGGTACCACCGCCCTGCCTATTTCGGCCGTGAAACAGTAATGCGTTTCGGTTTGAAGGGTGGGGCAGCCGTTGTAACTATACTGAGACTTTAGAACTTGTATCTCAAGGTGGGTGGCGCGTCTACGTGATAGATGTATAAGGGCTCCAGTAACCACTTAACACCAGGTGGGCTGTGAGCTCGTCCACCCACCTAAGCAATAAAAAAAAGCCGTAATCTCGTGTGTGTAGTGATATTAAGTAGTATAAATTAGTGGTGATATTGAAATGTGTTATTTTGTCCACAGACAACTGCTTGCACCGAATTTGAAACAGACGCAATACCTCGCAAACGGAGCCGAGAGTGACGTCAGAACGGTAAGTCACATTTTTTTAGTTATTTATTGATGCACAAAACAAATTACAATCATTACACTACATTTTAGCTAAATCGTACAAGTAGTGGCTCATTAAGTATCGGAACTTACAAGTCGTGGCTTATGGTATAAAATATGTAGTATCGGAACTTAGGGGCAATGAAACGACCGTACGTAATAACAGCTGGTTTATTACTACTGTGAGCGGAGCGGGCAGCGATATACGAAGTACATAACAAACACTGCAAGTACCTAGATCTAATCTGGATTGCAATCTAAATGGTATATGCACTCAGCAAATCCATATTGATGTACATAGCTTTGGCTATTGAAAACAAAATTCCAAGTATTGATAACTAGCCATTGTTAAATAGGATATCCTTCACACATCTGACAGATCCCCTGAGTCTAGATTCAAAGATATCAAGGTCACCGTGACATTTAGCCAAATCATTATACTGCCTGACCATTCTTACCATAGGGTTATATTATGATATATTATTTTTATTTGTTCGTAACGCAAAGAGGTTTACCAAATGCGTATTTCGGGCCCTGAAGTGGGCGTTGATAGAAATATTCGAGAGAAATTCCATGGAATCTATACGGGAGTGTTAAATTTTGTACAAAAATATTAAATCAAAATACCTACGGTGAGCTTCCAAAGATTGGACTTGGAAAAGAGCAAGTTTGGATTCATAATTTATGTCAGAACGACTTGGCCGCAGACGATAGGCTAATATTCTTAGGAACTCTGTGGAATAAACGTAATTGAACCAAGTATTTTTTTTTGGTGAACCCTTTGCTGTCCACGAGCCTCTTTTATAGAAAGACATGTCATAGCACTCAGGAAACACAGAGGAGGCTAGTTCGTTCCGAAGCCGAATGGAGCTTGGCAGGAAAGGTCTTTAAAGCCGCACTGTGGATGAACCTTGTGGAACGCCAATGTTGATGGTCATTGTTTTGGAGCAGTAGTCGTCGATGACGAATGTGATGAAGCAAGATGTACCAAACAAATGCTTATGCATAATTGTGTGGAGTGCGTTGTGTATGTATGTGTGTTATCTCATCTTTTTTCCGACTAATTTTTCAACTTCATCATAAATTTTACTGGTATAAACTCTTTATCCACCCAGTCAGATTATTTTGAATATATTATTATGTATTTTCAAGTTTGTTTGGCTTGTTCTTCTCAAAACTGATACAGTTTCTTGGAAGGTTTGAATATATTCTGTTGTTCAATATTTGCTTTAGGTTCGTCTAATGTTGTCTTAAATTAGTTATCTATACTAATATTATAAAGAGGAAAGATTTGTTTGTTTGTTTGTTTCGAATAGGCTCCGAAACTACTGGACCGATTTGAAAAATTCTTTTTCCATTAGAAGCCGACATTGTCCCTGATGAACATGGGTTACTTTTTTTATTTTTTTTTTATTTTATTTTTTTTGGTTTCATGTGTGTTTTAATGTTTCCGAAGCGAAGCGAGGGCGGGTCGCTAGTTACTCAATATCGGTTACCATTTGAATTTGGAAGAGCTCTGGCACTTAAAAAAATCTAAACTTGACCCTTCACCCCTCAAGTCTAGACCGAATATGATTTAGTGAGCGACCTTAAGTAAGTGCTCTTTTGAGATATAAATCTATCTTAAACTTATTTGGAAATGGAAACCTTTATTCATTATCCGATAGGTCTCTTTTGCCTTCGCAAGCTGACGAGCACACAGTATAAGCAAAACTTTCACCAGAGTATCAAGCGTTGAACTCACTTCACTAGTAGCTTATTCGGATTCCTCACAGATATTTACCATCTTGCCTGTTTCTGAACCGTATATACCGTAATATTCTTCTTCTTCTTCTTCTTATTCAAATCCTTCATTGCTTAAGGTCGTGTCCCTGAAAGCCCTTCGTGGCTCTTTGTACCATCAGCTTCCATTTGCTTCGGTTTTCGGCTTCTCTCAGGACGTAATGTACCGTTATTTTAATGTTATAATTATTTTCCAAGATCCAAAGAGGATGGCGTAATTTACATTATACTGTCTATAAACTTATAAGCTCCTTATCACTAACCATCTATAAGACCATTCGACATATTTTTTTACAGTCAAATTATAAAAGTAATTCAGCAAATATTTGTAAGACGACAAAAACTAAAATTTCTATTTAACAATTCATGAATTTAAGTTCTCGTACCACAATGAGTCCTTCGGTGTGTAAGCCCTAACCTAATTTTAATCTTTTCGGCTCAAATGTAGAGCGAGAGTGGAGTTGAATGGAAAACCTTTGAAAAAAAGGTCAAAAAGCCGCGTCGGCTGACCGAGTCTGCAATTGGCAGTGCAGCTTGTTTTAAAAGAGCACTGTGATTTTTGCGAACCCACGCAGCTACAAATGGAAGTCAATTTAGATGAAACGAATATATGTAGTAAGGATGTTCCAATGTTCTTGTATAATTCATTGAATTCTTTCTGTCGGTTTTTTAAATTGAACTAGAGGTCCCGCAGTAGTCGAAATTCGACTGTAATTAATTGGAATTGTAAGTTTGTACACTATTATGATTGTATTTTATACTTCTATAATCACAAATTTCGCCAAGACTACACTATAAAAAATATTAAAAAAGTCAAACAATATTTAATCTCAATTTGACAACAGACGTCAAGAACAAAAGTTTGACAATAAAAAATATGCATGCGCGTGTGCTTCAAATACATGGTATGTAGTGTGTGTAATGTTTACTTTATTGATTTAATGTATGTTTTATGCACTATTTAAAAAAAAAATTAGCATTGGGCACTTCTTCTCTATATTCTCTATAAGTGTGTAAAATTTCATACTCCTCCGTCCGCGCAATTTTCGTAAAAAGGGATACAAAGTTTTTGCTTCTCGTATTAATATATAGATTATAATTGAACTGTCTCGTTAGTCGGGTGATTAGAGATCTATTGATTTCTTGTCCGATTCTCAGTTGAAACGGGACTTTTCACTTACATAACGCGATGGGATGCTATAGGGAGCAATCTCCTTCATTTGCGCCAAATCGTCGCCGTGGGCTAAATCATGCAAATACAGGGGTCTAGGCTCAGAATATGTTTTTGTCCCATTCAGAGTCGACCCCCTTGGTCCATGGGGTCCTAGCACTATAAGGCTTTTTAAGGAAATAGGGAAAAAGGTTAGTGGACATCACACGAAACTGAAGAGTTGGGAGCTACCTCGGAAAAAGAATTAATCTAGCTATTCTTCGGAACCTAGCCTAAAGGGACTCCTTTTAATAATATATTTTAGTTATTATATTATATTTTTTAAGGTTTTTAGTTTTAGGTTCATTGTTCTAGTTTAAATATACCTAGTCAGGTCATAAATTCTGTCACATGTTTAATGTAAAATAATTGAAACAAGTTTATTCATTATGTAACCATTCATATACCAAAATGAACTTAACAAAACATAGATTCTTATGACACTAAAGTTTATTCAAAATGACCTCCGTGATTTTGAATACATGCCTTCAATCTGCGCGGCCAGTCGTCTATCGCAGCACGAACGAGGTCCATGTCAATATCGGCGGCTGCCTTAATCAAGGATGTCTTGAGTGACTCCAAATTGGGATGAGGCTTTGAGCACGCCTTTTCCTCCAAGTGTTGCCATATCTTGTAATCTAACGGATTCAAATCTGGACTGGAGGAGGGCCAGTCTTCGTGCCGGATGAAGTCGATTTCACGCGCCGCCAGCCAGTCTTGTGTGCTCTTCGCTCTATGAGCTGGCGCCGAATCTTGTTGGAATACCCAGTGCCTGTTATTGAACATGGTATGAGAAACAGGTTCCACAAGGTTCGTCAGGACTGTATTTTGATACACAACTGCATTCGTTTTTACACCTTTCTCACAAAAATGTACCTCTGTTAAGCCCCAATAAGAAACTCCCAACCATACCATGAGCGAGGATGGAAAATGACCTCGTTGGACACGCGGAATACGGTTGCTCGCTTCTTCACTACTGTGTGCGTACACCTTATCATTTTGTTTGTTGTAGCTCTCTTCTACGGTAAAAATTTTTTCATCCGAAAAAAGAATTTCCCGATATTTTTTTCCCGCGTACCGCTTCAACAAAGCGCGGCATCTCTTCAGTCTCAGGTCCATTAGACGAGCATTCAAACGATGTCCTGTTTTTCTTCGATATGCCCGAAGCCCTAAGTCTTCATTTAACACCCTTTTCACCGTGGTTCTGCTTAACCCCATCTGAAGGGCCAACAGTTTCTGCTTACGTTTGGGATTTCTTTGAATTCGCGCCTTCACAGCTTTTATCACTGCTGGAGTCCTAACAGACCGAGGGCGACCACTTCTTGACCTGTCATCTACACTAGAGTCTTCATTGTATCGTTTGATGGTACGATAAACGAATCTTTTGGTTATATTCAAATTTTTCAGTATGTTAAAATTTTGAATTGGCGCGTAACCGCAACGATGCAACGCAATAACTGCAACACGGTCTTCTTTAAGCGTCCACTCCGTATTTAAAAATGAGTAAAATTCTAAAAGTATACATTTTTATTTTCATGAACAATTCGAAATTCGAATTCAATAAACTTTTTTGTGGCCAGCATTCTAAAAGAAAAGTTTTTACTGTGTGACAATACTTATGACCTGACTAGGTATTTGTAAAAGTTTGTCAATATTTTTTTGTTTTTATGACTAAATTTGATCTACTGGCTATTTTCAATCGTGCTTCGACTAATTCCTTTTATTTTATTATAGTAATATTTGTGTCATACATAGTATTAGCATAGTCGTTAAAAGAATCATGTACGTAATCCTCCTCCCTGCGTCGATAACCCTCAATACTGAGGGTCATGGTCTCATGAGGCTTTCTTGGGAAAATAGACATGGTGGGGTCCCGCGTCCTGCCACGGTATTGCTTTTTGAAGAGATTTAGTTTTTCGCGGCCGCTGAAGCCTTATTTGGTTCCGGTTAATTAACTGCCGCCGGACGTTCGACATTGACTGTTTTACGGT